GCTCATGGTGGCATTAGCATGTGTTTTTCACTATATCCCTGCAATGTGCCTAAATGCATAATAGCTGAGCTTATTGAGAGAAGAGAAGAGAGGATAAATTGTACATGCAATGTTCTCCATGAAATAGTAGTACCGCACGATACTCTGCAATTCCAGCATGCGGTTGTCTCGCAGGAAATAGCGGCTGACTGAGAATCTTGTAACAATAGCAAATGAATGTAGTCTCCCCCAACCCCCAACGCCCCAAACAATAAGGCTTGAATTAGCTTTGACAGCATACGTATCTTGTGGTTGGTCCTCTGTATCTCATAAGACGATGGCGATGTTGACTGATTTCTGTTGCTGTGGTTGCTCTATTGTGGTTGTGCCTAGATTCGGTTACCGATATGCTCAAGAGATTCGCCAATGTTACTAATCTCCAGAAAGCCCTCCCCAGCTCTACTTGACACTACCGAGTACTGAAAAGTACTTCGGGATGCTAGGGACCATGTCGCCGAATTCGGCTGTGCCCCTCATAGGATAGGCAAAGCATGTGGTAACGGCACAGTTTTTTGGGACAACTTAGGCAAAGTCAAAGTCTCTTGATTTTCCATCCGAAAGGAATGTATAGTTGGTTTTCTATTTTAAAAGAATCACCTCCGTTCAGTGACCAGGGTTTCCAGTAAATCTACTTGACACCACCAAGTACTGAAAAGTGTTTCGGGATGCTAGGGACCATGTCGCTGAATTCGGCTGTGCCCCTCATAGGATACGCAAAGCATGTGGTAACGGCACAATTGTTTGGGACACCTTAGCCTACTTAGGCGAAGTCAAAGTGTCTTGATTTCTTATCGGAAAAGAATGTATAGTTGGTTTTCTAATTGAAAGAATCACTTCCGTTCAGTGGCCAGGATTTCCAGTGAGCGAGCGGCTTGATCTTGACAGCTCGGAAAACCATTCAAACTACTAACCATCTCTGCTGCAACAAGACCACCTGCACCAGCTTACCATCTGTCTCGGACCCCGTAATGGCTCAAGAAGGAACCGCTGGTGTTTGAATCCAAGGAATCGATGACCTCCATCTGCATCTCCACACTCTCTTCCAAATTCATCGGCCCTTTAATCGGGTGAGGGAGCTTTTCTAATTGCTTCCGCATCACTTCGATGCCTTCGACAAGCTGGGGCGGTTTTTCACCTGCGACTAGAAGTGTTAGTTATCCGTAGGCCATAACCCTCCCATCATAAAAAGGAACGCTTACCACCCTCGAACGTATCGACCCAGCCGGGACTCAGGGCCAAGACTTTGATACCCTTCGGCGCAAGTTCGACAGCGGCACCAGCTTACCATCTGTCTCGGACCCCGTAATGGCTCAAGAAGGAACCGCTGGTGTTTGAATCCAAGGAATCAATGACCTTCAGCTGCATCTTCACACTCTCCTCCACATTCATCGGCCCTTTAATCGGGTGAGGGAGCTTTTCTAATTGCTTCCGCATCACTTCGATGCCTTCGACAAGCTGGGGCGGTTTTTCACCTGCGACTAGAAGTGTTAGTTATGCGTAGGCCATAACCCTCCCATCATAAAAAAAGGAACGCTTACCACCCTCGAACGTATCGACCCAGCCGGGACTCAGGGCCAAGACTTTGATACCCTTCGGCGCAAGTTCGACAGCGTACTTGGCCACCTGCACATTCATCCCAGCCTTTGCAACTGCATACGCTAGGGCGTATTCAATGCCAGAGTCCTTGATGAGATCCAGGTCGGCCATACCAGTGGAGATGTGCACCACCTTTTTTTCGGCTCCCTTCTCAATCAAAGGGAGGAAGGCGTTGGTGGACCAGAGACCTCCGTAAATAGCAGTACGAATGGGAGCATCAAAGAAGTCCTCCGTGGCTTTGATGTCCAGCGGAACTTGCGAGGGACCGTAGGCGTATGTAGCCTGGTCGAACGCATTGGCGTTGTGAATCAGTACATCAAGGGTGCCACCAGTGATCTTGGTCACCTCGGTGGCAGCCATGAGCATGGACACGGGGTCCGTGACGTTACCCTTGACCAGATGAACATTGGAGTTCTGCTGAGACAACTCCTTAATTCTAGACACTTCGGGATCTCGAACAATTGCGAAGACCGTGTTGGATGGATCGATAGCTAATTGATGGACAAATTCTCGTCCAATGCCCTTGGGCGCTCCTGTAATGGCGTAGGACGGCATTTTCTATTCCCGTGTCCGTGCGGTGTCGTATGAAATTTCTGCTGGTAGCTCTGTACGAGTGAATTGCTGGCTGCTTTACTACATGGCTTATTTCGCATACGCCGGAAGCTCTTTATATTAATACCATGCTGTTCGCCTGATATGCCTACATACGTACACGGTGTAGGGGCGTTATGCGTCGATTTGGGAATGGCAAAATGACAAATGAAATGACTTTAGGATTGATAATTTCAAAATGCACTTCAGCAGGCGGATGCTCGGCTTGGTAAGCGTTTCATGCGAAGCGGAAGAATCGGACGAATTTGCGAACGGCGAGATTGAGGCTCCCGAACATTCGGTCTCCCACTCCGAGATCGTCACTCGGGGGCGGCGGCGTTTTCTCGAGCACCGAGGCCCGGTATCACCGATCACCAACCAGCCCAACAGGTCTCTACCCCATGCCTTTTCCAATTGTCAGCATACCCCGAGCGGTGGTCTTCCACATGGGCACTTAGGTTCTCAAATACAACACGCACCCTGAGTGCCCCAGTACGTAAGCGGTCTTCAAACGCCAGGCTACCGGTCCACCCTGACCCCATGGAAATCTGGTGTCAGATCGAGCCCTGAAAATGGGGGTGTTGCACTAAAGCAATAGCGTGAGGCTAGTTGAACTGGGGTGGACTACGTCAATCTAGGCCCAGCAGCGAAGATGAGATGATTAAGAAAACAATGAATACGAAAGATTATTACAGGAACGCTGCTGTGATCCAAGCGCATTTGTAACACCTGGTCGCACTACAGGAACCCACCACTTATCCGCGGCCCCACTTTAAAGTGGTTAGCAGGAGAGCTGGAAGCGAAATCCAATTGAAATGGAGCGGGCACGAGTAGCGGCCGGCGGGGTGGCCGGTGGGGGTAGCAGGTCTAGCAGGTCTAGCAGGTCGTTCTATCGTGATGGCTCGTTTTATCGCGCTCGACCAGTATCAGATAGGGCTGTCTCTATTAGCTGAAACACACAAGCACTCTTTCCTCTGAGTGACAAGTAGCAATAGTATTCCCTAACTATTAAATATCTTGAGTGTCCGCTGCGTACCGCAGAAATAGAAAGACAACAAAACAATGAAC